AGTCTACGCTTTCGCGAAAACATCGAAGTGTCGTTGTCGGTGTCTACGTATTCTTTGGTCTTAGAGGACTTTATCGCTGGGGATTTCCCATCCACCGTGTGTATTTGTAATTTTAGTGTCCCACTTTTTGAGCGCACTATGTTGTCAGTTAGTAGAAGTTTAAATCGGTCATTCCGTGGTAAATCCAGCTTTTGGGTTTCATCATCGAGTACTTAAATGAGTGTTGCTCCCATCCGACTGAGGTATTTGATTTCTCTGGTGATTAGCCCAACAAAATCTTCAAAAGACATCTGCTGTAACCGAGTTTCAGTGATGTGAATTGGGGTGATTCGTACACTTCCATAGTACATATAATGTACTTTGATTAACATCTCCGGCTTGTGAATTTCCATCATCTTTAATTTGTCTGGCACACCGAGCAACCTACCTTCCGCATGTGTGGGAACGAACTGGGAATATTTGTTCTGTTATGCAAATTAGCAATAATGCTAAAGATATTGGCCAATCAGTTTATTTGTACCGAGTGGCCATGGTGTCTATCGAAATGAACAAGCCTTGCTACATTTTAATTTTGTTGTTGTTGACCTGTCAATCACGCCTTTGATAATTACCGGATTGTTGCCAACATTGTGAACAGATGAAGTAAATTTCAAAACAAACTGCCTGACCAATTGTAACGACTTATCAACATCTGACTGCAGTTCTTCGTGTAATCAAGGGGTGAAAGGGGTGTAATTGTGTTTAGTACTTTCCCACCTGTTATTAAGCATGCAGCTATGGAAATGTATGTAAACATACAGTGGATGAGTTCATGAAAATAAACCAAATTTATGAACCTAATGCATCACGCACAATAAATTGTTTTCATTGAAAAAGAAAGTATACAATATATATTTAATAGTCCAACATTTTTTTATGCCAGGCGACAGTTCCAGACATTGAAGGTCACTGTTGTCGCTCCTGACTTTTTTTTTTTGCATATGCAAATTGCAAGTGCTAGATTTGACACATAGTGCATATTTGCCACAGAAGTCATATTCATGTTAGGGACTACATGACAGGGCTGTGCAGCCATCTCTCTATCGAATGGCAATTTAATGCGCTATCCTGGCGTCAAACAGGCTGCGAACCTTTTTGATGTTCAGCCTAGTGTGTAAGATTTGAACTCGGGTCTACCGAACACGAGTCTGATGCGACAACCACTATGCTACCAGTGACCGGTCCCAATTTTTTTTTTTTTTTTTCTCGTCTCGCTACCATAAATTGAGTCACTATTGTGAACGAAAAAACTTTAAACATAACAAAAACAAAAGCTATGGTTTTCAACTCAAGTAACAGTTTAATAAAAAATATGAGATTCAAAATCAACAATTAAGAAATTACACATGTACATTTGCTTCCTGGCCACAACATTTACCCCATTTGGAAAATTAAATCATATGCAATGCTAAAAATTAAATGAAAATGTCCTTTTTGTTGGCTGTATCATACTCAGTCTCATACACAGGGCTGATTCTAAACAATTATTATATTATGATATTTCTGTGATAAATATCGTACTCACCAGGATACAGTCAAATGAATAATTTTTTGTCATCTTGAATTTTGGAGTTTGTCTGATTCATTTGGTGATTTGAATGTCCATGGTATCAGTGGCAAGTACTGCAGCTCAGCTAGCATAAAACAGCCTGACGCAATACTGTACAAGGATATATTTACCCTATTTTCACTGTGTTTATTGACGAAAATGTTTTCGATGTCATCTGCCAGCAGCAGCTCTATTCTTATGATCCATTGCACCTAATGAATGGTTCAGTCAAATCTTGTTTGGAAATGTGGAGTGACCATCTTGCTTTAAGCTGCTATTTTTTAGTATTGAGTACTTAGTTAAAAATCATTTTATGTGTATAAATTGTTGTACATGTATTTCCACACAATGTGTAGATTATTATGGTACAATCCTGTGACAGGAAAAGCAAAAGTGCTATTGAAGAATTTACACTTCCCGAATGGTGTTCAGCTGTCACCAAAACAAGATTACTTATTGGTCACTGAGACAACCAGAGCCAGAATAATTAAGTAAGTAGTGGATTTAAAAAAAATTCAACATGAGAACAAATATGACAGAGTTTCGAGAATGTAATGTTGACCTTATTTTCTACCGAGCAGGTATAATTTGAAAGGTCCCAATAGAGGCAAAGTTGAAGTATTTGCGAATAATTTACCAGGCTTACCTGATAACATCCGACCTAGCAGCAGTGGTGGTTATTGGGTTGGTATGGCCATAATTCGGGATCCTACATTTTCTGCCTTCGATTATGTTGCTTCAAGACCATGGTTACGGTCTTTATTACTAAAGGTAATGTATATTGTATTTTATTGATTATTAGCTTGAAGTTTGGATTCTTGTGCAAAGTTGCATGTTTTTGTCAGTTAAGCGAGGATGTGATATGAAACAGCAATTTGTATAAATTTGAAATTGAGAAACAATAGATGTATAATTATATTACCGGGGTACTACAGAATAGAGCCACTTCTTGTTACTTATAAACTCGCACGCTAAAACATAAGACTCATTCCCAGTTGTAATTTATTTTCTACCAGTGGAGGCAGATGAAGTTTTGTTTGTTTTATTTTCTCCTATAACATGTTATGATAAGAAGTGGCAGCTTAGATTTGTGTTTGATCCACTTTGATATGTATCTCAAATTGTTCGTATGTATGTAAAATTGTCTTTAGTAAATTTGAGAAATGTTATAAATTATCAAAAAAATTGTTTACGTTTATTATTATTATTATTACAGATATTTGACCCAGAGATTTTAAAGCGTATGGCACCAAAATATGGATTATTGATTGAGCTGAATGCAGATGGTGATATTATACAAAGCTTACATGACCCTACTGGCGAAGTTATTCCATCTGTGAGTGAGGTGTTAGAAACAGCTCCGGGACAACTATATCTTGGTTCATATCATTCATCGTTTATCGGTAAACTTGATTTATCTGGATCACATAGAAGCTCGTCTTCATCGAACAAAGATAGGAAACAATCGCAAGAACCAGATACATGACATGTTGGATGTCATGGTTGTAGATTGAGATGGTCGGAAAAACTAATACCGGTAGTGCTTGTTTCTAATGATGTTACAAAGCATCCTAATAGGTTCGAACAAGCAAATGAGTAAAACAAAACTTTTGTATTGTGGCATTAATGTAATTTCCAAACGACTTTAGTGGGTCAATTAACTTCACAACAACACCAAACAACTACAGCAAAGTGATGCAGTTAAAATTATAAAAATTGTTATTGTCTCAATTCTTTCGATATATATGATTTTTATCTCATGTTGTGCAGAAAAAGTTACAGCATGAATTAACAGGGCACAATTTTAAATCTTTTTTAAAAAAAACGTGAATTTAAAGGATGACCATATTAAAATGAATAAAATTTTACAGTAGCCAATATACTGCCTGAAACTGGTTGAACAGAAATAAATGCATGTACAGACCAAGGAAAAATTTATATTCCCATTACCATAGATTATATTAAAGGGAGGCAGTCGTTTTTTTGCGACCGCTTATCACTTACCGGAAACCGACCACATTTTAATCGCGTTTTTTTAGCTCGCTCGCTCATTGAAAAACACGACCGCTCGCCCAAACACTGATCACTGGCACACGAGCGGTCGAAATGGTGGTTTTGATAGTAAATTGTGAACATACAACTGGTATTAACTATTATTAAATTCTGAACGACACTTCAAATCAAATAGTTGTATGACACCGGGACATCTTGTTACGGGTTTTGGGTGTTTGTTCTAAGATGTAATATACGTTGCTATGAGTCCC